ATAAACAGCTTGGAACTGTACCCGACACAGTGCATATGCCATAAACACTATTTTTATTGTTGATTGTTGAAGCCAGTGATGCACAGGCTTCTTCAGCCCACAGAGGAGATCTTTGCATTTAAAAAATTCACATTTCCAGCTTCTTGAAAATGTGAAAGACGAAGCATCACAGAGCCGGCTCTTCCACGAAGCAACAATTGTCAGGAGCTGAGAGCCGATGGCTCGCTCCAGTTTATCAAAATTCCGCTCGACATTCTTTACTTATTACAATGCCGTGCGTGGCTCCTGTCAGCGTTCGCTGAGTATTGTGTCATTATAACCTATAGCAACTCTGTACTACAGAAATTATTGTCCCCAATTTCTAGGTGAGAAAACTGAGCCTTAAAGAAAAATAATGATTCCAGGCACTTATTGAGCACTTCGTAGGCCAGGCTCTGTGCTAAGCTAACCCCCATTTTACAGATGTGCAAAGTGAGGCTCTGAGATGTGATGTCACTTGCCTGTGGTTACAGATGGAGCTGGCATTTAAAACCAGACTTCATACAGTGGAGCTGACCCCTCCCACCACCTCCACCCCAGTCTGCAGCCCTCACCTCCTGACTCCCCCCTTCAGGGCCCAGCCTGCAGCCCCACAAGGGCAAGCCTGAGGGGTATGTGCAGACAACAGGGGCTGCTGCTGGGCAGCCTGGGGGGTCAGCAGTCTGACCTGGCCAGGCAGGCAGAAGCAGCGGACTTAGAAAGACCTCCTAGCTCCCACAGAAATAAGCCAAGAGACATGATTAACTGCTCGAGTAGGAAGAGCCAATAAAGCCAAAGACTCCACACCCAGGGATAAGAAAGCTAATTACTGCAGGAAAGGTCTCCTTTCCAACACGGAAATTACCCCCGGTCTCACATGGAATCACATCGCCACATGCTCCCCGGGATTCGGCTCCCTTCGGAACTGATATATTTATATATATACGTACATGCATTTTCTTGTACAGAAATGTTAAATTCTCAAGATTAAGTATCTTCAGTTGGGGAAAATCAATTTACTCCTTTGAAAAGGCTGCAGTTGAAAGTCGTGAGCCTGAAACTTACTTTCTTGCCAATTTTACTGATAAAAAAAAGTCTCTTCATCCTGGCACGTCTCCCTGAATGGCTGCTCCAAACAATTCCATTAATTGATTTGAGTGACTGGCCCTGAAGCAAGGCTTATTAAGGCTCCCAGCGGAGCCGGGGCAGGCAGGATGGCTCAGGAGCCATAGGTGTGTGAGACTCCACTCCCTGGTGGTGACCACAGCTCGGTCCAGTGATAGGAACTCGGGCCTCCGGTGGCCGGGCCCTGGGAGATGGAGAGAGGCCTGAAATTCCAGGAGGGACTCTACCTGCATCCCTGCTTGTCTCAGACATGCCAGAGGGAAGCTTTTCAGGGATGTGTCCAGAATCAGATTCACAGAAGGACAGAGCGAAAGGGGGCCAAGGACCGTGAGTGGGGGTGTTTGCGAATGGGGGCCCAAGATTTAGGACCAGTGTAGTGGGTGGTTATTCTAGGGAAGTGGATTCAGACCCTCTGCCTGAAGGTGGCCGAGGGAGTGACTTTGCTGACACTGGAGCTGGCAGAGAAGGGCCTCTTGAAACCAGCATCACCGCCGGCTTCCTGCCTTCTTGTCACTTCTCACCTTAACTGGCCAAGCTCTCTGGAGTCCTTTCCCATCTTCCTCACTCTGTTCCTTTACCACTGGAGGCTTTTATGTGTCTTTCCAAAAAGCCTACCAACCTCAACACTCCCTCAAGCCCCCAAAGGAAATGTTGTCTCCTTTTATGGTTAGTGTTACTGGAAAGAGCATGTGTCTTAATGTCAGACAAGCGTATGTATAGGAGGAATGGGGTGTTGGAGGGAGGAGTTTGCAGAATAAGGAGAAGTTCTTACTATAGTCTGAGACACAAGGAGTAGGGCAGGGCTTCCTGAATGATTCATTGTCAAGTTACTTTTGCCAGGCTTGAGATTTCACCAGTGGCTGACTATGTGCACGGGAGAGTAGGTAACATGGGTGAGGTGGAGAGGTGGATGGATGGATGGATGGACAGATAGCTGGCTAGATGGATGAATGGAAGGATAAATAGGTAAAAGGCTAGATGGGTGGTTGCATAGTTAGTTGAATAAATTAGTGTATAGATAGTGTGTGAGCAAATGCATGAGAACATGAACATGATAAATGAGGGTATGATGGATAGATGGATGGGTGGATGGAGGATGGATGGGTGGGTGGATGGATGGGTGGGTGGATGGATTGCAGGCATGCACTGAAGTGTAAAGGAGCCCTGGTGCCCAGCTCTGGTAGAAGAAGGAGAATTCGGAAAGCAGGAGGGACCTGGATGGAAAAGGAGCTGAGGTGCTGGAGTCACTGAAGGGAGAATAGTACTTAGTTACCATAACCAGGTGGGTAGAGTATCTGAGGAGTATGTGTACCTGGAAGCTGGGATGATAGGACTTAGATGGGATGATTAAAGGAATAGTTAGAATTGATTATCTGAAAAAAACAACCATTGGGAACAGAAATAGCTTGTTTGAGTATTGTGTAAGAGAGTGTATCCGTTATCTATAGCTGTGTAACAAATGACCCAAAAGTTAGTGTCTTAGAACAACATGTATGATCTCACAGTCTGTGGGTCAGGGTTCAGCACAGCCTGATTGGGTCCTCTTGATTGGTTGTCTCATGAGCTACATTCAAGGTGTTGGCTAACACTGCTCCACTTCCAAGCTCCCCCATGCGGCTGTTGGCAGGATTCAGTTCCTCCTTGCTGTTCTCCACTGACCATTAACTGGAGGCTGTCCTTCGCTCCTGGCCATGTGGGCCTCTCCATGGGGCGACTCACAGCATGACAACGGCTTCCATCAGGGCAACAAGCAAGAGTGCAAGCAAGATGATAGTTTAGTCTCACTAACCTAATTTCTGAGCAGCATCCCATAGCTATGGGGGGGGGGGCGTTCAAAGTAAGCCTGTGCATCCAGCCCCCGTGTAGGGGTAGGGGATTACACAAGGACATGAGTCCCTCAATGGAGATCTGGAGATCACTGGAGCCGTTTAGAAACTTCCTGCCACAGAGAATCTGAGCAGGAAAAGCAGCACAGTGGAAAGGACCTGAGGGATAAAAGAAGCTGGGGGGTGGAAGAGTCTGAATATTAGAAATTATCTAGAAAATAAGAAATGTCTGGGGAATCAGAAGAGCTGGAAATTGGGAATGTGTTTAAGGGTAATAATAGTAGCTGGGGGGTCGGGCATTGGGGCTGCAGGAGAAGCTGAGGTGGAGGAATAGCTGGGCGGATGGATTAGCTGGAGAGCACAGAAGGTCTGGAGGCAAGAGTTGCAGAAGCAAGAGAGTAACTATGGAGGTGGAGTAGCTGAGAGCAGGAAGAGCTGAAAATAGAACAGGCTGAGGCCCGGGAGGAGCTGGGAGCAGCCAGCTTGCAGCTCTGGTGGAACATTTAAGCTCCAGGCATCTGAGCCCTTCCAGGCCTTTGGCTTTGGGGGCAGATAAACTTGCAGGTGAGGAGGGGCTACTTGTCTGTGAAGGTGCCCCCAGACCCTGTGCCCAGGAACTATCACTGGTACTTGACAGAATCTGGGCTCAGTGGAATTCCAAGTGGGTTCCCGCCTGCTGCTTCAGAGGCCTCTCCTCCCCTGGCGTGCCTGCATCTCCAGGAGCCACTGTCAGAGGGGACAGTCCTTATGGAGCTAGGGAGCACCCCACCTCTCCCCACCCCCACTGCCCCGACTCCTGGAAGTTTCTTCGCCGTCTCCTGCCCATCCCCAGCCCCGCGCCAGCCTGTTTGAGCACACCCATGCCATCATGCACAGCGGAGCTGGGCCGGGTGCCAGTCAGACGGGCTGACATCACAGACAGGCGCAACCAGACTTGGAAACTGCCGGGTACAGTGGGGCCCGCAGAGCCACCTGCTCCCCTGGGATCAGCGGGGGCAGGGCCGATCCCTGCTCAGAGCAGGCAGCTGGCAGGCCCTACATTCCCAAGAAATCTCATGAAGTTCATGCACCCGGTCTGCCCAGTCTCCTTAGCAGCAGGGGGCATGCGATGTCAGCCCCCTCTCCTGGCCCCAGTGCCCTCTGATTCTCCCCAGCCAGGCAGCGCAAGCACAGCAGCCTGCCCACCAGGCCTGGTCCTAGGGATGCTGGTTCTATCCATGCAGCAGCATCTAGCCCAAGACGCTCTGGGGACAAGGGGATAGGGAGCCTGCAGACACCTGCTCAGTTGGCTCCCACTCCGCTCCCCATTCTGCAGTTCTCACCCTGCTTCTCTCTCACTGTAATGAAGTGGAACAAACAGAAACCCTCACCTTGGACAAGATCTTCCCCTGAGACACAGTACACAAGAGAGGCCGCTGTGGCTGAAGTGGGGGGTGGGGGCAAAACCTACCGAGCTTTGCCCTCATCGGCATCCACCTCCCCTCTCTGCCCTCACCATAGTTTCTGTGAGGCCATGAAGTCAGTGGTTAGGAGCATGGACCCTGGAGGCAGCGGGTCTGGGTTTCAGGCCTGGCTTCTCCACTTAGTATCTGAGTGACCTTAGGAAAGTTACTTAGTCATGCCTCAGTTTCCCCACCTGTAAAATGGGGTTAACAGACCTGCCTCCTATGATTGCTGTGAAGACTCAATGAATAAATGCAGTGAAGCCCTTAGAACAGGGCCTGCACATGTAATCATTCAGTAAATATTAGAGAGAGAACATTAATTTTTTAAAAGTCAGTGTGAAAATCACTTGTGCCATGGTCAAGAGCCAAGGGTTTCCAGACGGGGGGCCTACATCTAGTTCTTGGCTTTATCACTTCCCGGCTGTGTGTTTGGGAAGTGCCCTCCCAGGGCCTCAATGTGCACATCTGAGCAATGGGTGGCACTCCCTCGCTCTGAGGACTGTAGAGTCCCATGTCCTGAGCCCTGCTAGGCAAGGTCCCCAGGGTGCTCAGTAACTGTGTGCATCACCCCTCCCCTGCGGCCCAGAAATCCAAGATCTCCACCTTCGAGAAGATGTGGGCCTTTATGAGCAGCAAGCCCTCGGCGCTGGTGAAGAACAACGAGGAGGGCATCCAGAGGACGCTGACCGCCGACTACGCGCTGCTCATGGAGTCCACCACCATCGAGTACGTCACCCAGAGGAACTGCAACCTCACCCAGATCGGGGGCCTCATCGACTCCAAGGGCTACGGCATCGGCACGCCCATGGGTGAGCGAGGGGCTGCATGTGGGGGCGAGGAGGGGGCGGGACTGGGCGAAGCCCTCACATCCACTCCCACACACAGTCTCCTGCTCCCACTCCCAGCTCCTCCCGCTGAGCCTAGCAAGGTGGCATTTCCTCAGCGCAGAGATGCAGGGGTGGAGCCATGTACCTTGTGAGGTCAGCCCCGGCCTAAGCAGAGCACTGGGGCCAACACAGAGGTGGGGGCAGCTCAGAGGTCATGCCTTCTCTTCCCGGCCTCACCCCTGTTGAGGCAGCCCAGACACAGAGATTCATAAGCAAGACTCCCTGCCCCAGGTAAGGACCCTTCCTCCCACCAGATGCCATATAGAAAGAGAGACTTCCGGCAGTTGGGTGCCCCTTTGATGAGCTGACCAAGAGGGCTAGTGATGGCGGCTGACACCGACCAGACGGACCGAGCGCCGCTGACATGTGTCTCCGCTTCCCACCTCAGGCTCCCCGTACCGGGACAAGATCACCATCGCCATCCTGCAGCTGCAGGAGGAGGACAAGCTGCACATCATGAAGGAGAAGTGGTGGCGGGGCAGCGGGTGTCCTGAGGAGGAGAACAAAGAGGCCAGCGCCCTGGGGATCCAGAAGATCGGGGGCATCTTCATCGTCCTGGCCGCCGGGCTGGTTCTGTCAGTGCTGGTGGCCGTGGGCGAGTTTGTGTACAAGCTCCGCAAAACAGCAGAGCGAGAGCAGGTGAGCCCCAAGCCCTGGCCCCTGCACCGGAAAGGGAGGGAGAGAGGGAGGGGCTGATGCTGGGGGTCACACCTCCTGCGTGCCAGGCCCAAGGTAGTGTCTGACCCCATCCTCGTCAGAGCCCACCTGCATCCCTTCCAGCGGGAAGCCTGCCACGCCCACCTCTGCTCCAACTCTGAGCAAACCTCCCATCACAGTTGTTCATGCCAGGCCAAGCCCTATCATCTCCAGCCAGACCATGCCACAGCCTCCGGCCTGGCCTTCCTGCCTCCACACTTCCTCCCTGCCACCCACTCTCCAGCCACAGCCAGCACCCTGTTTAAAACTTGATTCAAACCAGGCCATTCCCCTGCATAAAACCCTGCAGGGTAATTATGGGAGCTGGGTGATGGTTACATGGGGGCTCATTATCCTGTTCTCTCTCCTTCTGCATGTATTTGGAAATTTCCATAATCAAAAGTTTAAAAAAGAAAAGGGTTAAGAGAGAGGTTCGGCCCAAGCATTCAGATGGAAGAACCTAGACTCCACCTGTCTGATTAATTCAAGCGTGGCTCTGGGTCCCGGGAGCAAATTAGAATCACAGGAAGAGAGTTTTTTAAGTGCTAATGCCCTGGCCTCACTCTCGGAGACTCCGTTTTAATTGGCGTGTGGTAGCGCCTGGCATTGGCGTCTTAAGAAAGTGTACGGCTGATTTCAGTGAGCACCTGAGCGGGGAAGGCCGCTGTGCTGGGGAAGCGCTGCTCACCACAAAGCTCAAAGCACTACGGGCCAGTGTGGAAAGCGATGGTGGTGAAGTCGTGTGTACAGGGGACCGTTAAAAACAGGCAGCTTTTACATCTGTCCAAAATGAAGTGGTGTCCTCTCTAACCAGTAAGCCTGAGTCAGCAGTGCACCCCATGGAAGTGGCCAAGGATATGTGTGGTTTTGTTTACAAAGATGTTCATTGACATGTTAATTATTTTGTGAAGAAAAGAGAAAAAAACACACAGGAAAAAAACTAAATGTCCAATAATCAGGAATGGCTGCAAAAATTACATTTAAAAAAAAAAACTCTTTAGGAATTTCCATTATAATTGGAATGAGCTCCAAATTCCACCAAAAAGCCTCCAGGATCTGGCCCTTGCCCACCCCTCTGACTTCCAGCTGCCCTCCCCGCCCCTCTTCTCTGCTGCACATACATCAGCCTCCTTTTGCGTCCTTAACGCACCCAACATGTTTCAGCCATGGGCCCTTGCACATGCTGTCCTAGCACCTGAAATGACCTCCCCCCAGAGTGCCATCTTCTCAGCATCATCTACTCATTCGGTTTCAGCTCAAATGTTACCTCCCAAGGAGCCTTCCCACCTGTCCCTGCTCCTAAACCCTCTCTGTCCCATGCAACTGCTTTATTCTTAACAATAGTTATCACTGAAAGCATTTGTTTACATGTTTATTATCTGTTTCTAGTCCATCATTAGACCACAAGCTCCCCGAGGACTGGGACCTTACCTGTCATTTTCCCTGCTGTATGTCTAACACCTAGAATGGTGCCTGGCACATAGTAGGGGCACAATAAATATTTTCAGAATAAAGAGAGGGAGGTGAGGGTGATGTCCTGTGTTTGGTGGGGGAACAAGAGGAAGCTTGGAGAGGTCCCTCAGCTGGTAAGAGGCAGAGCCAGATTTCAAAGCCAGGTCCTGTTCCCTGCATCATACAGCCTTGTACAAGCTGCCCGGTACTGATTCCCTGGCCTCACTGGGCAGCAGTGGTCCCCACTGCCTTCCAGTCAAGCTGCAGGACAACCTCTGCCATCATACACCTGCAGGCAATGCTGCACATTTGCTGTTGCTTTCGGTACTCACAGGGACCTAGGCCAGAGGAGGCCACTGCCACTCAACTGCCCTGCAGGGGCCTAGCTCCCCTTAGTTGAAGCCCTCCACACTTTCAAGTGTTTCCTAAATCCTGACTCTGAGCCAGGACTAGTGTGGGGGCTGGGCTCATGTGGGGGGGGGGGGGAGGGCGGGGGGGGCGGAGCTGACTGGTTCCTGCTCTCAGAATCTAGTGGAGAAAAGTCAGACAGGTCAACTCCTCAAACTTTAATGTATATGCCAGTCAGAGCCTCAGTGTGCTCATCTGTAAAATGGGTATAAGATGATACTATCTGCCCTACTATCTTTTTTTCTTTTTTCTTTTTTTAGTATATTTTTTATTGATTTCAACGAGGAAGGGAAAGGGAGAGAAAGATAGAAACATCAATGATGAGAGAGAAGCATTGATGGGCTGCCTCCTGCATGCCCCCAGGGGGGATCGAGCCCACAACCCAGGCATATGCCCTTGACCGGAAACAAACCTGGGTCCCTTCAGTCTGCAGGCCAACGCTCTAGCCACTGAGCCAAACTGGGTAGGGCTTAATCTCCAAACAAGAACGTGATGCTCTGTAGGCTGCTACACAAACTGGTCATCTTGCAGGGGAAAGAGGGTGGGTGGGATGAAGGGGTGACAGAGACCTAGTGGCCTGAGCACAGGCGCGGGAGGAAGAGCAGGAGTTGGCTGGAATTGCAGGGCCAGGCCTCACCCACCTGCTCTTTCTGTCTCGCTCCCACCGCAGCGTTCCTTCTGCAGCACGGTGGCCGACGAGATCCGTTTCGCCCTCACCTGCCAACGTCGGGTCAAGCACAAGCCGCAGCCTCCCATGATGGTCAAGACTGATGCCGTCATCAACATGCACACGTTCAATGACCGCCGGCTTCCGGGCAAGGACAGCATGACCTGCAGCACATCACTGGCCCCCGTTTTCCCCTGAGCACCGGTAGGGTGGGGACCGCAGGCCTGGGGGCAGGGTGGTGGAAAGCAAAGGAGACTGGAAGGCACGTCCCTGTCCCCACACTGGGCTTGGGGACCAGAGCTGCTGCCTGCCTATTGGGCCAACAGCCCTCTGCCCTCACCTACTGGGAAACCAGCAGGCCCCCAGGCCAGCTGCTTGAGCTTCATCTCGTCTTGTTTCTTCTGTGGGTTTCTAAAGCTGCCAGCCAAGACAGCCAAGGCCAAAGGAAGCACATGCCTCTCTCAGGCCACGCCCACCTGCGCCTCCACCTTCCTCCACAGTCACAAGTTTCTGCCACGGCCCTGCAGGGGCCAGAGAAAATAGCTCTTTTATTGCCACTCCTTCCCCATCAGCCCAGTTCTTCTGGGGCTTGACTATGAGACCAGAGACACACACCCTGGACATGGCAGGGGTGTTCTCATTTGGCTGACAGTGGGACAGTGGGAGCTACAGACAGAGGATGGCCATCCACATGCCTGGGCAGAGGGAAGACCTCATCCCCCGGGGGCTGCTCACAGGCTTCTGAATTCCTGGATTTGGCACCAACCATGGTAGCCCCTATTTGGGCAAAGTTGAACGCAGAGAGCCCCATAGGGGAAAAGAGGAGTTTGGGGTCTGGGAGAGGCTGCCATTTTGAATTCTACGGTCAATGTCTAATGGCCACACTTCTTTAGGAGAGAGGGGGAAGGGTCGAAGCAAACTCTTCTCCACTTTCTGGCCAGAGGAGAGACAACCCCCTGAAACTCTCAAAAAAGACACCCAGAGACTCAGCCAACATTTGAGGCCCAGAGGAACAGTGGGTTCCATGGAAATCCCATAGGCCTTCACGTCATGGGATCTTACTTTGCTGGTTACCAAGCTGCTTTTCAGACCCTGATGGCATGAGGGAGCTTGGGCTGTTTGCCGTCCACTCATCAGCAACTCCCCATTGCTGGCCGGTTGGCCTTAAGATCCTTCGTCATCCTGGGAGAAGAGTAGCCTAGATCAAAGTGAAAGTCGATTCACCCTTCCTCAAAAGAGGGGCCCAGGTCCCAGGCACAGGCTAACTTTGTGGTAGATGGGAAAACTAGAAGGGCCCTAAAGAACTCCCGGCCTCCTGGTCTTGCCAAACCTAAAGATACCCCCCAAAAAATGAAGTTTTAGGGGGCAGGATATCATGGCTGGTAGAGGCTCCAAAGGTGGGAAGATAGAAGCTGCCTCTTGGAGAATTAACCAAAGACCCCAAACAAAGACACAAGGTCATCCTGGAGCCTGGTCTCTTGTCCAGAGCAGCTGGGACCTTGTAGGGCTTGGGGACTCGGCAGAGGAGTAGTAACAGGCGGGGTACCAGTGAGGGGTAGACCAGATGGCCTGTAGGTTCCAGCCAGCTGCAATGGATGTTCTAGAGGTCTGTGACTTCAAGCATCTGGGGAAAGAATGCGACATGGAAGGTTTAGGAGCAAAGTGTCCTTAAAGAGAACCTGATAGGGCCAGTAGGGCTTCCCACCGCCAAGGGCAGAGGGCATTCTCCCAGCAGGGGATGAGGACTGAATCTGGACGGGGACCCAAAGGCACCAGCCACCCCCTCCCACCTCTCTCCTGTTTCTGCTTGAGGAGCCTGGATAGGGAAGAGCTACATTTAGGTCTCAAGGACCGTCTCAGCTGGGGGAAAGGGTAAGCTCTAGCTTCCCCAGGGACTTCCAAAGCAGCAGAGCACAGTGGGCTCATGTGACAAGTACTGCCCCTCCTACAAATCAGAGCCGCTCCAGCAGGCTGTGTGCATGGGAGGTAGAAGAGGCCGGACATGCAGTGTAGCCAACACATGTAACAATAGGAAAAGCCATGCTGTCATGAGCTCCTGGGTGCAAGAGTATGTGGTGCATATATGTGTATCTGTGTCCTTGTATGTGTGAGTTTTGGAGGCTGGGGGAGAAGGACAGATTTGGACATATACAAAGTCCAGGGCATGCAATAATAGGGAATCCTTTGGGTTCTGGTGTGTGTGTGTGTGTGTGTATGTGTGTGTGTACACACGTGTCATGTGTGTGAATTGAGAATGAAGGAGACAATTCTGGACAAGCAGCAGAACTCCATACATGTAAAAATAGGAGAAGCCATGCCATAATGGGGTGCTGGTGAATATATATATATATATATATATATATATATATATATATACACACACAATTGTGTGCGTATGTGTGTGTGTATCTGCATGTGCATTTGTGCACCAATGGCAGAGGGTAGAAGACAGAATAAAACCTGCAGCATTGCCAAATATGTCTTAAAGGAGAAGCCATGTCATCAAGGGATCCACATGTGAGCATGTGTGCATAAGTGTGTGTGGGCTCATGTGTGCAGCAGAGTGGGAGAGAGGACAGAACCAGACAGACATGCAGCAAGGTTCATGCATGTCATGTGTGAGAAGCCCTGAGGAACTGGAGTTTGTGAGTGTATGTTTGTATGCTCACATGCGTGTTCAAGCACACACATGTTACAGCTCACTACAGGAGCAGAGATGGACAATCAGGAAGGCAGAGAACCAGGGAGACTGTTGGCACTTCTGTCGTGAGGAGAGATCTTTTGTCACAAGATTTGCAAGTCTGTCAGGCATAGGTACAGGGAGATTGTAAGGCATGGGCACAGGGAGACTGTCAGGCATGGGCACAGGGAGACTGTCAGGCATGGGCACAGGGAGACTGTCAGGCACAGGGAGACTGTCAGGCATGGGCACAGGGAGACTGTCAGGCATGGGCACAGGGAGACTGTCAGGCACAGGCACAGGGAGACTGTCAGGCACAGGGAGACTGTCAGGCATGGGCACAGGGAGACTGTCAGGCACAGAGAGACTGTCAGGCATGGGCACAGGGAGACTGTTAGGCACAGGGAGACTGTCAGGCATGGGCACAGGGAGACTGTCAGGCATGGGCACAGGGAGACTGTCAGGCACAGGGAGACTGTCAGGCATGGGCACAGGGAGACTGTCAGGCACAGGGAGACTGTCAGGCACAGGGAGACTGTCAGGCATAGGGAGACTATCAGGCACAGGGAGACTGTCAGGCATGGGCACAGGGAGACTGTCAGGCACAGGGAGACTGTCAGGCATGGGCACAGGGAGACTGTCAGGCATAGGGAGACTGTCAGGCACAGGGAGACTGTCAGGCACAGGGAGACTGTCAGGCACGGGCACAGGGAGACTGTCAGGCACAGGGAGACTGTCAGGCACAGGGAGACTGTCAGGCATGGGCACAGGGAGACTGTCAGGCACAGGGAGACTGTCAGGCATGGGCACAGGGAGACTGTCAGGCACAGGGAGACTGTCAGGCACAGGGAGACTGTCAGGCATGGGCACAGGGAGACTGTCAGGCACGGGCACAGGGAGACTGTCAGGCATGGGCACAGGGAGACTGTCAGGCATGGGCACACGGAGACTGTCAGGCATAGGCACAAGTCGGGGCAAAGCGCTTAGGAGCTTGTGGCTGGTGACTTCATTGCTCCAGGCAGAGTGCCCTGTTTGAAGGGGAAAATGCCATATATTTGCAATTTCCAGGTGACAGGATTCTAATGAATGCATTTGCCCATTTGTTCTCACCAACCACGGATACTAACCACTGTCCTTCTTCATCCAGTACCATTTCTTGGCACACACCCACATCCATGCTCATATCACACACACGTGTGTGCTTCTGTGTATAACACTTCATGGACATGTCATGTTTTTCTGAGGCTCTGCATATAGACAGACAGATGAGAGAAAGAAAAGGAAGGGCATGAGTAGAAAGACTTTTCATCAAATGAGTGAAGAATGGTGGATAGCAGAGGTACTATTCAGTGAGGGAAGTCCCCCAAGATACGGAAATGATTTGGGGGTTCCAAAACAGACATGGGATGACATGCTGCGTGATCTTTCTCCACATTCCAGCTTCTGTCCATAGATGTGGCTCATGTTCAATGTCTAGCTGATGTCCTATGTTTGTCTTCAAGACCAGCCCAGGGTTCCAAGTGCAGTGGAAACCACTTCTGCCCAAGTGTGAGCTGTGTCTCTCAAGGACTCCAGGTTCCACTACGTCTGGAGGAGTGGGGTGGGAGAAGGTCTTCCCAGCAAGGGGGATCCTGTGGAACTCAAGTTTAGGCCAGCCTGCCAGTGGGGTGGACTGAGCCACGCGGGTGCACATGGGCACATGCATAGCGGTGCTGGGGTGGGGGGCTGGGAGAGATGGGGAGTGTAAATGCTGATTTAGATGGAGCAGAAGGTGGGACTTTCCTGAGCAGGTTCTAGACTGTGCCTGCCTGGCCCCACATGCTGGCCCTAAACAGAAGAGTGCCCCACCTTCCACCTCTATCCCCCACCTCACACCAGTGCCTCCTCTCAACCTGCTCGAAGTGGCCAAACTAAGGGCAGCAGTGAGGGGACACACACAATAAGCCCTCCTTATCTCTCTCTCCCCCTGACCTGTCACTGGTGTTTGCTGGGACATAGCTCAGACCCCCATCACAGCCTAAACTCCACCTGGCTCATGCTGGCTCCCTCCTGGGCACAGGAAGGGGTCTCTAGCACCATTAGGTGAAGACTCCAACTGGCTAGAAGTCACTCTCCCTCTCTAAGCTCTCACAGGGCGGAAGTCAGAACAGGACAGTCAGAAGTCCCCCCTGCCTTCTTTTCCAGGGGGTGCTATGTGTGGGTCTGCTGCTGCTTCTCACCACTCAGCATGAAGCAGATCCCTCCCCGAGCCACCCCGGCTATACACACAAGCATCTGGAAACAGGCCAGACTCTGGCCCGCATCTGGAATGGTCCTGTGTGAAGCACCATCTGGGAAGGGCCTAGCTCTGGTCAAACAGCTATATGGACTTAACATCTGGGACTGGCCCAGCCCCCTAGACAGCTGCAGAAAATGAGCCCAATCTTGTAGACAGGTCTCCAGAATAGACACATCTGGAACAGTTTCCCAAGGGGGGTGGACACATCTGGAATGGGCCCAGCCGTGTGGCATGGTGGAA